AAACACACTTTTAGAGATATTGGTATCCAAAAAAGAAATACAAGTAGTGGATATCTTATTCCAGTCAAAAGAAGCTTGTGTAAAAAATTTGTGGAACTTATACAAGTCATCTACTATAACTAGTCCGCACATCAACACTATGTGTAACTTGAGATTTCACAAGACACACATTAGGATGAAACTCAAAAAACATAGAGTTATCCTTTGCAAATTAACAAACACTCATCAAGTTTTTGGTTATATCAGAAACTAGAAGTAAATTTTTGAGAACCAGTGGAACACCGAGACATAGAGAAGAAGAGAAATATGTTGAACCCAAAAAGTTGATGCTTAAACCTTGGACATTTTTTATTTGAATCTGGTCTGGTCCTTTAAAAGGTTGAAACTGTTGAATATTTTGAGAGCTATTTGTGACATGATGTGAAGGGCCAAAGTTAGGATAACATATTTATTATGTTGGAGCATTCATATGTGCAATATTTGCAATCATTACCCAAGAAAAAGTCTATGTAGCACAACAATAGTGTGGGATTTGTGATTGATGTTGTGGTGGATGAAAAGGAACAGGAAATCCTAGTGATGCTAAAAAATGGTTCTAATAGGAGAAATTTTATGGTTGTCTAAACTGTTGAGACCAAGTTGTTGTGGAATAAGCTAAATCAAAATGATGATAATGGTTGGGTGCATAGTGTCCATATCTAGAACATACTTGACATTGAAGGGAGAAGTGTCCACCTCGTGACCTTCCTCAACCAAAATGACCTTCTCCACGAAATCGATTACCTTCATGTGTATTAGACCTATAATCATCATTAAAATAATTATTAGGAGCTTGTGTAAAATTTTCTTGAGTGATTTTAGAACTGTGAGAGACTTGTTGTGATGTTTTGGAAGACCTAGTTTGAGTCAAATTAACTAATGTTGAGTCGATTATTGCTTGTTTATTGTATTATTTAATGCAACCTTCATGTGCAAGAAGAAGTGCTCCAACCTCTAGTGTTGATCAGTTCTTATTATACATATTTTTTGTTAAGATTTAGCACTCTTTTTTATCAAAATGTAAATAGGTTGATGTTATTTAACCCCAAAATAGGCAAAATTAAAAGATAGAAGAGTAGTAGAAAGTTAATGGAAATTTTCTCTCTTTTTTGTAGAAAAATTTTAGAAGTCAGAATTATGCAGCCATGGATGTGAGTACTTGAATGGCAATCAAGAAGCACCAGAGAGTTGCAGCCGTGGCTGTGGAAGCCTAGAGTGCAAAAATGAAGTTCCAAAGACTTGTAGCCATGGTTGTGGGTTCACAGCTAGAGCCATGGGGTATTAGAGATCAAGGGAAAGTTCTAGAGACTCAGCCATGGCTGTGGATTCTATAGCTACAACGTTGGGACTACTTAAACATGAAGGATTCTCCACAACCATGGCTGTGGATTTCACAGTTGGAGCCATGAAGTTTACTTAAACATGAAGGACTCTCCACAGCCATGGCTTAGATTTGTCCGCACTGTTGGGGTTGTGTCCTGGTGGTGGCAGGGTGAGCAGGTTGCTATTGTTGGCCTCCTCCAAGATGTGTACTCGAGGTGCATTCAGGGGAGTGTAGAAGTCGTATCTCCCCCCTATTTGTCTTGGCAGTCCTCTTGAATTGACTGTCGTTGGTGACCTTCACCTTATCTTTGTGGCCTTGGTCTGACTTTGTCTACGATTTACCTCGGACCTGGTCACGAAAAGTAGAGTGCTCTTCCATCTGAATGTAACTTACAACTCGGGCGCGGAGTTCGTCCATGTCAACAAGGGGTCGCCGACACAGACTGTCGACAAACGGTTCTGGCTTGAGTGCCATAAGCATGGCGTGCAGGGCAACCTCGAGATTCAAATTTCGAATCTTGACCGAGATGCTGGCAAAACGCTCCATGAACGTCCTCAGTGGCTCGTCGTCACTCTGTCTGAGACTGGCTAGAGCAGCTGACGTGATGTGATGAGGCCGGCTTGTTGCGTACTACACCGTAAACTGTCTGACCAGGGTGTCAAAGCTGTCAATCGATCCTGGCGGCAGTTGGGTATACCAGGAGAGCGCTGCACCCTTAAGCGAGGTCGGAAAAACCCTACACAGAACAACATCGTCATTAGTGTATAGGTTTACTTGCGTGACGTATAAGTTGATGTGCTCGTCTGGATCCGTTGTGTCATCGTAGCGGTCGATGTGGAGGGGTTTCCAGTCGAAGGGTAGAGGTGTCTCCATGGTGCCGTCCACAAAGGGGTGACGGCGAGTGCTCGCCCGATTTCCAGGGACCAAGGCAGGAGCATTGCTGACCTCGTGGGTCGACCTATTTGTTGGTGCATGTGACCGATGTGTAGCAGGTCGGGGAGTCGGTGCCCTAGGTGCAGTTGGGGGTTGAGGGACCGAGTGCCCCTCCTCTTCGTGGTGACTACTCGGTTGAGGGGGCTGATCAGAAGGGCGCCGAGGAAGTTGAGCACGAATACGCTCATTCTCGACGCGCAGCGCCTCCAGGCCAGCCTCGTTTGCGGTACGCAGTGCCGCTAGGTCAGTTTCGTGCTTGGTACGGATGTTTTGCAGATCAGCGGTGTGTTGCTACCGCATCTGCTCGACCTGGTCGATCAATCTCCTCAATACTGCCTCGTTGTCCATGCTTGTCGTGTGATATGCATCGTTTGTTGCGCGTCTACTATGGCTTCGGGTGAAAACCATAAGCATGGCCGATAAGAGTCGTCTTGATCGGCCCCACGGTGGGCGCCAAATGTTATTACCGGAGATCGGTCGTAGGGGACGATCTGCTGGGTAAGATCGGTGAGCCTCCTTCACTGGGTACGCTTGTTGTTCCAAGGCGGGGGTGGTACCTGCAAAAGAGACTTCGATACTAAAGTTAGTGTTTGTGGATGTATGAGTCTCGTATAAGTAATGCACATACCTTTGTGTGAATTTAGGGTTTTGTTGGGCCTTGGGCCCAAGATCAGTTTATGACCTATTTGGATGTCGAGCTGACGTGGCCTAGCGCGTGTCCGAGGTCACGCCGCGTTGAGATGCCGAGCTCGAGCTCGGCATAGCGGTACGGATAGTACAAAAAGTATAGGAAAAGAGAATTGCAAACTTGATTTTATACTGGTTCGGCCAACCTTGCCTACATCCAGTCCTCAAGTCTCCCACTTGAGATTTTCACTATGCTTGTAACTTTTACAATACTCAGATTCTCCAACACCTAGGAATTCCCTTTCCTCGTGTTGAGAATCACAGACCAACAAGGAGAACAACACTTTCTCCTTTACAGATCAATAGATGAATTGAATAAAGTAGAACAACTCTCTTTTGAAGAGTGAATTTTACACTTTGTTTCTAGTAGAACTCTTTAGATAATTTTTGCAAATGATTTTGGCCAAGTGATTTGTGGGGATAATTTTCACAATAGAGTTCGTAACCCTTCTCTGAAAAATTATAGGTATTTATAGACAATTGTTTCTAAGGTTATGTCTTTTCATGAAAAGTTGTGACTTTCTAAAAATTTTCAGAAAATAGGCTCTGGTAATCGATTACAATACTTGGTAATCGATTACAAAGGTTTAATTTCAAAATGTTTGAAACGTTGTAAAATTTAAATTCAAATTTTGAAGTTTTATCTTCTGGTAATCGATGAATTGATAATCAATTACCAGAGCACGTTTTAATATTTGAATTTTGAATATACAAGTTTCATCCTCTAGTAATCGATTACATGTATTGGTAATCGATTACCAGACTCATAAAACAAAAAATAGTTTATTAAAACTTAAGATATAGAAAACTTTTATTTTCAAAACCTTAAAAAATTATATTTGGGTTTTCTTGAAATTCTTTATTTTAAATGGCCAAGTAATCTTATGCAATATTTCTAAAGATTTCTTTTTACATATAAAGCTAGATTGACAAGACTTATCTAGAAAATACTTTGAGATTTTTGTTTCTTGATTACCTTGCTTTAACTTGACCTCTTGTTTTTTACAATTTCTTTGGCATCATCAAAATCTTTTACATACGTTCTTCCACAATTATCAATCTAAAAACACAAAATTCATATTATATAAAAATAATAGAGAATATTATCTTCAACAAGTAATTATTTAGATACTAATTTTTGGTTTTATTTTATTTTATTTTATTTATTTATTTATTATTATTATTATTATTAATATATGATCATATTGAATTGGGTCATCAGTTAAAAAATATAAAATCTGTTAGTCAATGTATATAATCAAGTTTTGGAGTTGAATTCGATCCATCCAAACGCTAAAAATATTTAATACTAATTTATTAAATTAGTTTAGATCGATTAAAATTTAAAAATTACCAGCGGTATCCATTTACACTTGTAGAAAATGTTCAAACCCTGCTCCGTCTCATGGTTGCCATCCGGAACCACAACCCCTCCTGAAACCCTGAACCCACATGCACATCATTTTAATTTTCTGTGTCGCATCAGTTTATCTCGACCATAACAACCTTCTTGAACAATATTTCATATAGTAATAGCAGTAAAATGGAAATTGGTTATCCACAGTATTTAGTAGTAGTAATTAGCATAATTACATTTCATATAAGTAGCTTGGCAATTATTGGCATAACTATCGTAAAATAAATCCATTAAATTCTAAATTATCTCTCATATTTAAAAACAAATTTTATGTCAAATCAAAACACTTAAAAAATTTCCAAGCAATAATAATTCTCACAATTAAAACTTCTTGTTCTTCTTTTACGGTATCAATTAAACTCTAAATTATCTCTTCTGCTTAATACCAAATTTTAGGTGAAATTAAAACACTTTTAAAAAGGAAATAATTAACGAATTTGCAAGTAATAATAGTATTTCTTATGATTAAAAGTTTTTGTTCTTGTTTTACGGTATGAATATCACGTGGGGACGTGGGGCACGAAAACGCATAACGAGGGACCGCAGCATATAAATACCCTCCTCCCCTCGTTTTCCTTTCCTTCCCGCAACACCCGTAACCGCTCAAACACACTTCCCACACTCTCCTAATTCAGTCATGCAGTAACAACTACGCTTCAACGCTGCAACTTTCTCTTCGTTTCTCGGTAACTAAACACCGATGACAAACCGATCGCGAAAATCCAAGCGCAAGCTCCACGCGGAGGAGCCGCCTCCGCTCGCCGTCACCAAGAAGCTCCGGCAGAAGCTGCCTCGCCGCCCTCGGGAAAACATCTCGCCGGTGCTTCTTGTCAGAATCTCCGGCGAAAATCCTCGTTTCTCCGTCAACTCGAGCTCCGGCTCCGACTTCGCCGCCGGCGAAGCTTCCTGCAACTCCAGCAGAGCCTCCGTCGCCGGCGAGGGAAACGCGAACTCGAGAAACGAACCGTCAATCGATTCCTCGATAAACCGGAGGTTCGAGAAGCGAAACGCAAACGAAGTGGAGGTGTCAGGGTCTTCGTGCGTGGACTCCAATTCGTTCGCTCGCGAGCGGTGCAGAAGCCTGATTCTGAAGTTCAAAAGAGAGAGTAAGGATCCGGAAGAAAACGACGACGTTTCGGAAGCTCTCGCGGAATCAGAGATTACTATTCTGAAGTTCAAAAGCGGAAGAGAAACTAAGCATCTTAAAGAAAACGACGATGTTTCTTGCACGAAATCAGAGATTACTAGCGAGGAACGGTTCAATTCAAAAGCCGGTAACGGTAACGGTAATGGAAACATTAAAATGTCTTTCGAGTCAAACGGAAACGACGTCGTGTCGTTTAGTTCCGGCGTTCGCGCCTCGTTTGAGGAGGAAACGAATAGAAACCAGGAAAACAGAGCATCGGAATGTGAATACTGTGAAGAGAATTGCGCGGATTTAATAGCGCAATCGATGGCGAAGCACGAGTCGGACAATTACGACGTCGTTGCGGATCTCACTTGCTCTGAGGATCTGCGCTTCTCGTACAGTGACGATGAATTGGATTACTGTTCGAGCCAGGGAACTGAGTTCTCTGAATTTCACTCCGAGATTTTCGGCGAATGCTCGCAGCAAGAGCCTTCGGATTACTCTCTGTCGCTGTTCGTCGATTCTGGAAGCCAGTTTTCGCAGGGATCCGTTGGAGAAACTCCTTCGCCGACGTACTCGCTGTTCCTTCAGTACCGCAAGGAGTTCTCCGCGCTAGCTTCTCCTCTAATGCACGCTTCACGCGTTGCCGAAGATGAGGTTTCTGCTGGAGTCAAAGTAGGTTCGCTAATTGCTTCGATTTCAGAATTTTAAGTTACTTTTATTACTTACTAGTTCTGTTAGAAATTGTTTAGTATAGTTGTTTTCGTTTTCGTTATTTATTTGGAGTTCTTATTTTCTGTTTGTGTATATATGAATATGAATTTTAGTTTACGACATTCGAAGATTCTGATGACGAAGATAGCTACCGGATGCTGAGGAAGAGGGAAAGGAGGCAGGGTTTTCTGTCGAATTATGGTGAAATATATTTCTCTACCACCGAATTCGGAGAGACCGTGCTTGAGCAACGTGTGCAAATGGTCCACTGGATCGTTGAGGTAGGTTTGTCTAAAACAAATTCCAAGTTGTTATATATTGTTGTTATTATTGTTTCACTTGTCTTTTCATTAATTTCACTTTTATATTCTCCACCAACAACATAATAAGGAAGAAACTAAACATTTACCTATGGCATAGAAAATAAATAAATAAATAAATATTCACCTAAGTCAAATTGTTGGAGTGCTCAAATTGAATCTATGACGAAAATAATTTTGATCAAACTTTATTTATTTCTTGATTGAGTTAGATTAGTTTAAGAAAAAATATTAAAATAAGAATCTGAAATAAAAAATAATTAATCTAATTAGTAATTGATGAAAAATATAAAAAAATATAAAGTTAATGTCGGTTAATAATTTGTGTTGGTTGAACTTGAAACTGAGATAAGTAGAGCTCGTGCTTTGATTATTAGTTGATAATTATTTTTAATTATTTATTTATATTTGGGGTATATAATAGATAGTTGTTGTTTATTAAATCCTGTTTCGGATTGCCTGGGTGAGAGAACACGTTTGAAGTGTGATGACCAAACAAACTTGATTCAGTTAAAAGGTAAACATTCTGTACAATAAGATTGTTGGAGAGTGGTCAGTAGCATCCAATTGAATCGCGACACGTCAGATTCATCTGGAAGACGAATGCCTCTACGAGTACTGCGGTGTACTTCAGTAAATCCCTGTATCGTTATGCATGCTGCTGATGCAATCATGCAACACACTTTTCTCTTGTTCGTGCTTGTGGGTAGTTACTTCGAGATCTACACTGTGCTTTTTAGTTTTAATTTGAACGTTAACGTAAATTTTTCATTCTTGTTAGTTCCTCCAAAAGTTAAAGAGTGATATAATTGGATATATCCAAATATTTCAAACATTTCAATGTAACTATAATTTTCTATTAATCTATCACTTTTCTTTTTAATTTTTTTCTAGGTATTTAGCACATTGAGTGTCAAAAGATTTCCCGAATTTAATTCAAATTTTGCTAGTCTAGCCAACTATATTAGTCTCACCATTATTTAATGCTTTAATATTTCATAATGATAGGATGCATTCGATATTTACAAAAGATATTAATTGACTAGCAATCTATTGCCTAAGAAGAAAATGGAAAAATAAACGGACTTCTTGTAAATATGCAATTGTTATATATTCCACCAAGTATTTATTTTTTTAAAAAAAAATTTGGTGCGAAAATATTTCGTAGTATATCCCTTTGACGCGTTTTTCCTTATTATTAAATTATTACTGATTATTGATATAATTATTTTATTTTTATCATCTTTGATTATTGAGTTACCGTAGAGAACATTCTTTCTGCTTTTTGATGGAGGGAATCCATTTACTTCTTCCCCTGTTGCAGACAGCGAGACTAAAATATACAAATTCTTTTTTTTTGGCTATGTAAATTTTACTTGTAAAACTGTTTTTTTAGACACTCATACCAGACAAAACACTTGAGCAACACCCTTAAAAAATTATTTTCTCTTTCCTTTAGTGTTTTGTGTGAAAATTGAGTTAAAAATAATTTTTTTTTTTTTTTAAAAGAGAGGTGATATTCGGATGTGTCTTGAAAATTGGGTGTTAAAAAATAGGGTCTCTAATACGTATTTTGCTACAAAGTCACCCACCACCTTGCATTAAGATAGATTATTGCATGCGAACCTATATAGATTGGATAACAATGTTTTTGGCTTCAGGTATTGAGACTGTAACTTTAGATTGAATTGCCGGTTGAATTTATTTAAAATGCTTTATCTTTGAAATTTGGCAGCAATGTTATAGAAAACAGCTTCGGCAAGAGACAATGTTTCTTGGAGTCAACCTATTTGATCGCTTCCTAAGCAAAGGATATTTCAAAGCCAAAAGAAACCTTCAAATTGTTGGAATAGCTTGCCTTACGTTAGCGATCAGGATCGAAGAAAACCAGCAACATAACAGGTTCATCATTTAATCTTAACATTTCTTCCCCATTCTCTTAGTCATCTTGGCAACAATGTCATTTTCATCTGTCTCTTTAATGGTCTTGGGTTGCCCGATTGTGAAGTGATTGTCAAATGACCTTGAGAATAAAGAAAAGGGAAATACATTAGGATTTAATTCTTCTGGAATTTTAAGTTTATTTATCCGCATAATTCATGCATTGTCTGTGAATTAAAAAAATAACAGTTATCCCTCTAGTTTCAAACAATATTCAATTTTTACATAAATTTTATTTTCTAACACATTTGCTCTCTTGAAGTCTATTTATAATACTTGCTTCTCGTATAACTTGGAAAAGTGAGAATTAACAGAATTTAACAAACTTTTGTTCCAATCAAAACTCATGAAAGTTATATTCAATGAATAACTGAAACTCTTTTGTGGGCTCTACAGAGTGGGGCAAAAAGATTTCTTCATAGGAAGCAGTGTGTACAGTAGATGCGAGGTGGTAGCTATGGAATGGATGGTGCAGGAGGTGCTCAAGTTTCAGTGCTTTCTCCCCACCATCTACAGTTTCTTGTGGTATAACATTTTATTCTTACAGCACGAACATAACCTGAAATTCTGCATAAATTGAATGTTAGCTAATAGCCATTGTTTCAGGTCATCATTCATCATCAAAGATTTCCGTTTCTTTCCGGGAAACAATTTTGAATTTTAAAATGAGTGGTTCAAGCAAAGACTTGCTTCTATTTCTCTAATAAAGGATTTCTTTTTGCTTTAAAAACTGCATAATTTAAAAACTAAGAAAAATTTGTAATCGTAACTTCACATAGACTCGGTATAATAATAAAATAATTGTAGCGCAGTTTAAAAACTTGCAACTCGGCATCACTAGGAAAATAGAGTTTTGCTCACCCTTTTGTTTTCGATCTCAGCTAAATTACAGTTCACCGTATAATCTTACAGGTTTTACCTAAAAGCAGCTAATGCTGATGCAGTCGTTGAGAAGAGGGTCAAGTATCTGGCAGTACTCGCACTGTCAGGTCTTGAGCAGATATGCTACTGGCCGTCAACAGTTGCTGCAGCAATTGTAATCCTGGCTTGTCTTGAAATCAATCAAAATGCCCTCAAAGTCATAGGGGTAATTATTTTTGCTATACAAGAACTACCTCTTTATTTGAAATTTAAGTCAACAACAAACTCGGGGTTACATTATATGACACGGTTAGGCAAGGCCACATATTAATATTTTAGTACATCATTGTATTTTTATTACATAAAATGCCAACCAAGATGTCATGCAATTTGTATGGTCTAGATTTGCACTTAAAACTGTAATTATATTTTCTGAATGCTCAATGCCTCTCCTTTATATATTATTTTTAGACTGGATTATCCTGAAATGTTTATAAAGACCTTCCAGTGAATAATTGTGAATAGCATGTCATGTAGATAATCGACATTATGATTTTGCAGATCCACGTTAGATCAAAAGATGAGAATCTGTATGAATGCATAGAGGTATGAAGTCCTATTTATTGTAATTTGAGTGTAGTTCTTCTTTTGTTTGATGTTTAAACCAGCAAAAAGAATAAAGTGCAAGCCTGAAATGTCATGATGAAAAAGCGCCACACTACTAGTATTATGAAATTAATCAAATCATTTCTCTTATTATGCTGAGAAGCCCCACACTGCGATTAGAATCAAAATATCCTTTCCTTTATTACCATTTAATTTCTCCTATTATTGGTGTTCGTTCAAGTATTTGACACGAAACTTCTACAGAACCTGGAGTGGTTGTTACGCTGTCTAGGATAACATACTAATTGGCGTGGAGGCAATGACTGTACAATTCAGTTTAGTGGCGATTGTTTCTAACCATCAGAAGACAAATGGCTTTCTTATGCCTGGTTTGATTCTTCATTAATACTGAATAAATTCCATTTGTTTCCCTAACTGATAGGAAGGGAATTCTATTCTTTTTCCCATGTAACTATATTGATTGTTCTGTATATCGATATAGAAGAAAAAATTTACTCATTTTTTCGGAAACTATGAGAACCTTAACGGATAGAAAACTCGGCTGTTAACTGTTAATGACCAACAAAGATATTACAGGGTTATACTAAAGTTTCTCTGGCATTATATATGATTCTTGCTTTCCTCTGTAGACTATCGTCTTTTGTGGCCTCCTCGCAACCTTCTATAGTATCTTGTTACTAGGAATTTTAGTTACATAATATTAATTACTAGAATTTTTCCAGTAAAGTTTCTTCTAAAGATATGCACAAGAATTAGTTAAGAAAAGAATAAAAATGTTTGCTTGTGAATAGGTGTTAATTTAGCCTATAGTTATGGAGCTAGTTCATCCCACTTCCTCTAATGACCTTATTTATTTTAGTTTCATTTAATAGAGACCCTTAAAGTTTTCAAACCACACAACCTCGAATAAAAGATCAAAGGAGACTTGACCATTTTGCCACATTAAAAAAAATAATGATTTATATGCTCAATAAAAAATATGAAACATGCTTAATAATTTGTAGAGTTAATTTTTTTTAACGGAAAATAATAAGGGAAGTTCTTGTTAATTATTTTTATTTATTTATTTTATATAATTGTTTAACTATATGTATAAAATTTTATAAATTTCCTATAATGCTCTCTCTCTATATATATATCATCAATAAAAGATGGGGTATTAATGGTAAAAGATTATTACAATTTCAAAAAACTGATTTAGACATTCAGAAATACAAGATGACTTAGTTAAGGAAATTCAATGTAGTAGTATAACTAATAATCCTTAAAAAGAAAAACTTTATCGTTACTTTATAAACATTTCGTGTCAATTACATCATGTATTTATTTTCTCCTCCCCCTCTTATTGGCGAATTTTCTTCACTGTTCCACTTAATTTATGGTTATCTCAGTAAACATACAACAAATAACAAAGTCTTTTTCATTACCGTATTTATTTATTTGTTTAATAAAAGTAGTTTTTTCCCTTTAACGACGTGCATGTACTTGTAAATTGTATGTCTCTTTTATTACATATTATTATTTCTCTTCCATCCCCTTGTTTTCACCCGTATCACGTATTAGACAAACCAAATTCAATTAAGAGAGACCGCAAATTGAAGCTCATTTTTTAATTGTACCCGCAATGCATTAAACTACTGTTATATTGAGGAGGGATATAATAATATTGATATAATTTTATTAAGTATTATATAGTTGGTGACAAAATTTGGATAAAAATTTTGAAAATGTAAAATTAATTTTTTATATATAAATTAAATTTTATTAATTAAAAATAATAGAATTTTTCATTTTCCTTACTTAATGTTTTTAATTTTATTACAATTAATAATATGATAATATACAAATATATATATATATATATGTGTGTATATATATATAAAAATAGAAAAGTTTGGGGGAGTCGTGACTCTCCCTGTCATAATTAATGTCCGCTTCTGTACCTCGCTCAATAACTTTATATTATAACTCTCCTATATATATACACACACACAAGTTTATTTTAAGAGTAAGTCTATTTAAACTTACTCTGTTTAATAATTCATGTTATATATCAAAGTTTAACAATCTAACCATTAAAATTAAAGTTGTTAATGTAGTGTGCAAAGTTTTTAAAATTTTGAAAATCATTTAATACTTGGTTTCGTTAATTCAAATCAATGTATAAAATACTTTTATTAGGGGTGGGCAAAACGAACTGAACTGAACTGAATTTATAAAAACTATACTAAACTTAAAAGTAGTTCATATGAACTGAACTAAACTAAATATTAGTTCAGACGAACTGAACTGAACTATTCTTTTGTGTCATTGAACTGAACTGAACTATACTATAAAAACTTGAACTGAACTGCAATTTAAACTGCACTAAACTGTTATGATATTTTGAATTGAACAATTTTGACTCATTGATCTATCAAAATAGGACACATTTGTCAACTTTACTTTATTTTCCATTTTATTTAAATTTTTCAAAGGAAAAAAAATATAAAATTAAGTCAAACAAACTCAGTGAATTTTAAGCCTAAAAATAAGTAGTTCAACATAGCTCAATTGATCCGTTAAGTTCAACAAAATTGATATAATTTTTTTTCAAATCACTTTTTTTCTAAAATTTTGGTTATTAGACTATCGAGCTAATCTATTAAGACATAACATGTTAAACACATTTAATTTTTATTCTTTTATAAAAATAGTTCAATTTTTATAATTCAGTTCAGTTTTTATAGTTCAGTATTATGATTATTTATCAATTTGACCTATGCATTAAGAACTTTAATTTCAATGATTAGATCATTAAAATTTGATGTAGAACATAAGTTATTAAATAGAGTAAGTCCAGGTAGACTTACTCTTGGATTAAATGGATTCTCCACTATATATGTGTGTGTGTCAGAGAGAGAGAGTAGAGGAGAGATCTCCTTACTCTATATAATAACTCATATTCTACATCAAATTTTAACAATTCAATCGTTAAATTAAAAGTTTTTAATGTATAAATTAAGTGTATAAAGTTTTAAAAAATTTAAAATCTATTTAATACTTTATTTCATTAATTCAAATTGATGGATAATCATAAAATATTTATATATTGATTTAAATTAATGAAACGAAATATAAAATAATTTTCAACATTTTTAAAACTTTGCAAACTTGATTTATGCATTAAGAACATTTAATTTAATGGTTGAATCGTTAAAATCAAATGTAGAACATGAGTTAATATGTAGTGTAAATGTATGTAGACTTACTCTTGAACTAAGTGAATCCTTTATATATATATATATATGTATGTGTGTGTGTGTATAGGAAAGATCAAATGACTCCAAGAATAACTCTTGATGAATTTATTTCATTGAATAACTTATGACATAAATTAAATATTAATGATCAAATCGTTAAATTAAAAGTTCTTAATGTATAGATTAAGTCTATAAATTTGAAAAATTTTGGAAAATTATATATATAATGTCACTGTAAACACATTTACTTTTAACAGTGACATGGCACAATTAAAAGATCTAATTGGTTGTCAGTGTAAAAAAAACTTTACACTAACAGTATATAGGTGATTAACTCTCTCTCTCTCTCTCTCTATATATATATACATTGATTTGAATCTATATAATGAAGTATCATATAATTTTCAAAATTTTTAAAAAAATTATAAACTTGATTTATTCATTAAGAACTTTTAATTTAACGGTTTGATCAATTAAATTCAACATACATCAAAAGTTATTGAGTGAAATAACTTTATAAAAAATTACTCTTAGAGTCATTTGATCCGACCTTATATATATATATAGTTAATCACCGATACACTGCCAGTATAAAGTTTTTTTACACTGACAACCAATTATATCTTTTAATTGTGTCATGTCACTGTTAAAAGTAAATGTGTTTATAGTGACATGGCACAATTAAAAGATATAATTGGTTGCCAGTGTAAAAAAACTTTACACTGGCAGTGTATAGGTGATTATCTCATATATATATATATATATGAAGAGGGTTCAAACGATACTAGTGTAACTTTTAATAAGAATTACACCGCTCAATAACTTTATATTAAATGTGAATTTTATAAATTCAACCGTTAAATTGAAAGTTTTTTACTCTTAGATCATATATACAAGTTTAATTACCTTCAAACTGTTGTTCAATTTTAATAAAATTTGATATAAACATATAAAGTGATACAAAGTTATAATTTAACAGTTGGATTTACAAAATTCACATTTAATATAAAGTTATTGAGCGATGTAATACTTGGTAAAAGTTACATTAGTGTCGTTTGAACCCTCCCCTCTCTCTCTCTGTATATATATATAGGGAGAGAGAGAGAAGGGTTTAAACGATGTTGGTGTAACTTTTACCAAGTATTACACAATTTAATAACTTTATATTAAATATGAATTTTGTCGATCCAACCGTTCAATTATAACTTTATATCACCTTGTATGTTTATATCAAATCTTGTTAAAATTAAACAATAATTTGAAGGTAATCAAAATGCTTATATTTTAGTATATTTTGAAATGAATATATTACGTCAATTTTATTCTATAAGAATAAGATATCAAACTATTTTGGATTAATATAATTTTTTTATATAAATAATCTAAGAATAAGAAACTTTCAATCTAACGATAAGTTTTGAAAAATTTACATTTAATTAAAAATTATTAAATGATATAATAGTTCATAATAATTACACCAGAGTCATGAATATTCCTTTTATATATATGAGAAAAATTTAATTTAAAAATAGAAATATTACTAGCGGTAGATATGAGCAAATAACAAAATAATGCAAAATACTGGTATGTGATTTATAAATATATTTTATATATACACACAATATGTGTGTGTGAGAGAGATAAGTTAATGAATTTGTTTGAATAATAAATGATACTATTTCTTTATGAAAACTTTATATTTATAACTGCTTGAAAGTTGTAAATAACTACGAGGAATGGTTTGAGATTTGATACGATTATAGGTGAACTTCTAAATATTTAATGTTTGAATGTGCAATAAAATATAATAGGACTTTTGATATTTTCAAAAACTAGGAAAGATCAAATGTTTTTTTAACGATTATTCTTTGTTAGTTGATATTTTTATCTTTATTTTATACAAAATGTGGTATCTTAACTTTGGTTAAAATATTTTTATTTTAAAATAAATTTATCTTAATTTAAATATTTGTTTTAAAAACTAATAATGACAAGATAAAATAGACTAATTAGTACATACAGTAAGTAGTTTATAAATGAAGTAAGATAAATTTTAATAGTTGAATTTTATGTTTATATAAAAAATAAAATTAGCCCATGGACTAACTCTAGCCATATAGTCTTTGTGAGCTGTTTGGCCCGGTGGCTTTTTATATATGAACTTTTATGGTACTGAACTTTTTTTGCCTCTAACTCACGTGGACTAAGGTTTTGAAGGGTGAACCGGGCCAATTTGACAGTTCTTGTGCAGTGTTTTAACCACATCAATACATAAATGACTGACATTAGGTTAATTGCAGAATGACAATTATATGTTTCACTGCATGCAACAAGCATTTCAGGTTAATATCAGTTACAGTTCGGGTTGTTACAAAATCAAGAGCCAGAGACATAGAATTGTTAAAACTACAGTTAAAATATTGTGATTTGTGAAAGTTAAAACAAATAGAACCTATGTATAAAACTATTGTTTGCCGTGTAGAGACCCAAGTATGTTGCAACAGATATCATCTGAAAATCATGAAGACCACTGCACCCTTACAAAATGCAGGCGGTTGGAGGGGACCTAGTCTGATACAACTGCCTTGTTGCATTCCATTGCATCAATGGCATTAACTAAGCAGTCAACTGGTAAGAACTAAAGAACTTGAAAATGGAAACCCATACAAAGCAAGACATTCAACACAGATAAATATAGTTGTGAAATGCAAAGTTATACATTTATTCTATCTTTTCATTGTAAAGGAAAATGAAAACAGTAAAAACATTTAACTGATCTGTCATGCTCTTAATGACACAGTGTTCTGTAAAATTATACTGATTGTCCTGTTTGTAAACATATGACCTAAAGGAAGAAGTGAATGAAGAAATAACTCAAAAAATAACAAATAACAAATAATCTTTTGAAATGAATGTTGACCATATTTAGGAACCCCATCTGTCAGACAAACCTTTACATCACTATAATAATCAAGACTTGTCATTGTACAACAAACTTTGAGGAACTGATGTCTGACAACAACTATGCTAACTAAATAAATCCATCTGTGCACGTGAGGATGTAAGGGATTCTGAATTAACTCGAGCTATATAATTGTCAGCTTACTGTCATTGTCTGAATTAACGGGAACAACTGCAGGTCCCATGTCTGAAGAATCCTCAAAGTGCATCTTTGCAAATTCATCAACAATCCCTTTCCTTTCACTGTAAATGATCCCGTTCCTTTCCACCTCGGCCTGTTCGACCTTCTCCTTCGTCATAACGCTGACATCCCCGGCTGCCTTTGCTATAGCAGTAAAGGCACTAGACACCCATGAAGCTCCAGTTAGTATGTAAGGATTGCTCATGATAGCAGATCCAGCACTACTTGCTTTTTGCTCTGCAGCAGCCATAGCAGACTTTGTCAATTCAGAAAGCTGATACCTTTCATCCATCTCTCTCACCTTTCCATTGACAATAGCTGTTCCAATACTTAGTTTATCACTAAAACCCATTCTGCGATCAATGGAAGCAACTGTGGAAGAAGCATTTGAGGTCAAGTGATGACGTTCATCAAAGGCTTTGGCCTTGTTGATAGCATCCTTTCCTAAAATGAAACCCTTAGCAAGCATCGTGCTCATTACATCTTCAGCCTTCTTAACTGCATCAGCACTTTGGTTTGTCTATTGAGAAGAGCATTGCACAATGTATATTAGAAACTTCATAGATACTAACCATTTGATAGTAAAGAAAGTATAACATTTCCAACCCAGTAGCGAGGGAAGAAGTTGTATACACCTGCAGAGATTTTACATCTAGTTTACAGTATATTTGACTTTAGCACCAAATATAACACCCACAATATAGCCATTTATGTTTAGTTAGATTAAAAAGAAAATGTTTAGGACATAGCTAGATCTGCTCAGATTCAAGTCGTAATTGATTTTGTACATCATCTTCATACCAAAGTTGATTTTATTGCTGCAGATATCCGCAGAACAAAATAAATCTAAAAGTCTATAGTTATTATACCCCAGACAAAGATAATAAGCACCATGTAAAGTTGGCTGCAATATTGAAGCCATAAATTTCAAACCCCAAAACTGGGAGGACTCTTTCAAGAATAATAACTTTAATGAGATAGACTCATAAAACATATTGGTATTGACATGGATATTTGGGGACACGTGGCACCAACATGTTCAGCAAACCTCAGTAGCATGCAATAAATAGCACAGAATTTAAATTAATTAAGTACTTACTGGACTTGGGGGAAGAGCATCAGGGGGCAGCTGGTACATCTCCACAGGTGTGATGGTGACATATAGATCACCTATCTTGGAACCCTATATAAAAAATTGAAGATTAATTAAACACGTGATTTTAAAATCAAGATCAACTAAGTAGTATCTGTTTCTTTTTATGCTATCTTAATGAGTTTCAGGGATTGAATGGAAACGATTAATATGGTACATTGGTGCAATCCATGACATTATTATCAAATGTAATGTAAAATTTTCAAAAGTAAAAATTATTGCATACAAACATACAGTCAAGAGAACTGCTGTGTCTGCTCCCTGTGTGTCCTTAAATGTAACATAAGCAACCTGGGTGCGATCACTTTCTCTGTAGAATTAAAAACCAAAGATTAGGGAGACATTCAGTGTAAAAGTTTAAGCAATAACAATCGTAAGAAAAGAATAAAACATTACAAGTGCTCTGACCTTTCCATTTCAATATATCGAATATCACCTGAGAATGAAAAGAATTCTTCAATGTCCTTCTTGGAAGTAGCCAGTGATATGTTGCTAACCTTAACTGTTCTTATCTGTAAGAGATCAAAACTAAGTAAACTAGGAAATTTCCCATGATGGGATCTGCCACTAATAAAATACCAACAAAGGGTAGTGGGGAACAGATAAGAATTGTTTTGAAGGATTAACCTAAAGTAACCAAGATTGTAATAAACCAGAAAACACAAATTGCCAAACAAAACAAGAGTTTTGTTTTCGAGTCATTTTGGGTCCCCAATTGTACAAACTTGTAATTATAATATGAATCTCTAATAATTGGGAGGGTGATTAGTGGATGTTTATCCTAATTATATGCTTTTGAAAATTTTCAATCTATCAAATGCTTTGACTTTTCATGAAATAATTTCTATTTTAATTCCTTAACTATATCTATCATGAGTTTTCACATGCTGTTATTATTTCTGGCACAGGTTTTATAGTTAATGGTGGGAAAATTCATGTAGTGGTGACCAGAAATTCACGCTGGAAACATAATATTGATTGCTTTATCATGCATTCTACAATCATAATGCTAACCAATGTTACAATGTAAAAAAAAAAAAATAATAAAAAAAAATTTCCTCACGTCTGACACATGAATAGTCCAATTTGGTGAAGCTGGGGATTGGGGAATAGCTTCAGCCCTTTGATCGGTATGGTCCACGGTGGCCTACACAAAAATAGTTAATTAAAGGAAATTCTAGGATGATAATCTGTATTTCTGTAGAATAGGAAGTGCAATGACATGTGCAAATGGAGAAAATGTAAAACCAGCTAGTCGAACAGAAAAAGTGATCCCTTTTTAATCTCCTCCAAAAGAACTATGAATATGCAATAATAAAAAAGGTCAAACTTTAGTCGTAAAAGCAATGATGGAATTAAGTGAAAGAAGAACACCAAGATATAAAAAGCCTAATGAGTACTATCCTGATAGCCCAGAATGCAAAGCAAATGAACAAAGAGTTAATAAGCCAAGAGGAAAGGTTATACCAAGAGACAACACCAATGTGATAGTGTCCACTTGGAAACAAACAAATCAAATGGAATGAAGATTAGTCATCATAAATTCAAGCAATGCAACATCTTGACTTAACATTAATCAACCAGTATTCTTAGGCATGTATACATATGAAGTGAAAACTCTGGTTATTGTGGAAAATTAGAATTGTTAATCTGAGACATACGTCCATACATGGATAGACAAAATTATAGAGATAAACACACATGTCTCTTATTAAGTTACATTCCATCCTCAAAACTATTCAATTCAATGTTTTCTCGTGATTAAAAAAAATATAAACAAAACATATATCCAATACTATAGGTATTGTTCGTGTTATTTTTCAATAAGAATAAGAGTTTCATTTTCATAACATGCCTAAATGTATATTATTGAACTCTGCATTGAACGAAAAATGTATATTACCGAAGTAAAACTCTAATTCTGACCAAAGAACAACATCGAATAAGTTTTGTCCAGAATTACATTATATCTGAAGACTAGACTTGAATTTGAATTAGATCCAAAAGGGTCATTAGCAAACACTGCAGATCAGATTATCCAAAATTTGGAAGTAGTAGTTGTTATATTGAAAACTACAAGATCTAAAGAGTAAAGGTTCTGAAACGAAGATGAAGGGAAGAAAGAGAGATAGGATCTGAAAGGAAAAGGAAGTGGATCTGACATGAGGAAAAGGGGATTGAAAGGTTTAGAGACTCACCGACATTTCGGATGGTACAATGTTGTGACAAACAGCGTTGTTGCAAAGAGGGAATTTTGAAGGAAACGAGTGAGTTGGTTGGTTTGGGTGTAATGAGTCGTCATGTGACTGTTATTTGGTGTCATGTGAGTGGCTGTTGCCTAATTTTGCAACCGACACATCGCTTTGCCACATACCCAACAAAACACTAATCTTCCTCATCATTTCCTTCAAGATTGTAACCTACTAACTATCACGTTCTAATTATTCAATTTTTAAAATTTTCATTTAATTGCTCAGGTTAATTTATTATAAATGACAAAACAATAAATGATATTTAATATTATTTATTATATGTCTCTTACGATAGATAAAGAATACCTGGATTAATTAAAATAAATAAATAAATAAAACACTTGTGCAGTTTTAATCTTTAATCTTTCAAATTTTTAAATCGAGTAATTTTTTAATTTTATTGTAATTGTGTAATTTTGGTTCTTCAATTTTTAATTGAACACTTAAAATCTTTCAAGTCCTGTAATTATGTAATTTTAGTCTATTAAGTATGGCAATTATACAAATTCTTAACTATTTAAGTTGCATATATCATTTAATACATAAATAAAAATTATAATATATATATATATAACTTAAATAGATCAAAAAATTATGTAATTGTGATATTTGAAAGATTATATTGTTAATTAAATTTAGAGAACCAAAATTGTACAATTATTATACTTAATAAACTAAAATTGTTTGATTAGAATCTTATAGATAAAAATAACATAATTATAATATTAGGGGGATAAAAAGGAAATTGAGTTAAAAATAATAATAACCTCTTCTTAGTTTCCATATATGTATTGATTAAAGGATAAAAGAAAAAAAATGATGCAAATTAAATTTAAACCAATAAAAATGTTACTAACCACTTTCATCCTTTTGAAAATAATGTTTCTTGGCCCCTTATTTAAATTAAAATTTTAAGTTTGAATTTGGTATCATTGTTATAATTTTAATAAATAAAAAATAATATTTTTAATTATAAAAGCACAAAAATAATGTCTCATTTCTGTGCTAATTATCTACATTTATATATAAAAATAAATTTTTTAATTTTTGTGTATATGATTTTTAGATTATTTTATTATTAAATTTTTTAAAAAATAAAAATAATATTAAAATTAATTATTTTTATAAACTTAAAATTTAAACTCAAAATATTAAAATATGAGGACTAAAAATATTAATAATTTTTAAATAAAACTAAATAAATATAGAGGCACAAATTATCTTAATTATACAAAAGATATCAAAAATCAATATCGAACATTAAAAAGAAATAATAATAATAAAAACTCAATCTAGAAATAGGAAGAATGACAATAATTTACCAAAACTGTGAGTATAATTTCTTTTACAATCCTGTAAAAAGTGTTCTTCTTTAAACATGTTGAGTTTTACGGGGAATAAAATATAGCAAAATTAAATTAAAAATAATATTTTAACTTGTGTAATGTATAAGGCAAATTTTTATTTTTATAATTATAATTAAAATAAATAAATATTTTAATATATAAATTACATTAAAATTAAATTTCATAATAAATAAAAAAATTTAATATATGAATTATATTTTAAATTTAGGCTAAATTATATTTTTAATCCCTCAATAATATCAAATTCATAATTTTGGTCTTTCTATGTTTAATTCCACAATTTTAACCTCTCAATTTTATAAAATTTATAATTTTAGTCCTTTCATCAAATGTTTATCCGATGATCATTAAAATTGAAATGTTGATTGTGACTTCACATCGGATAAATGAGACATTAATTAATATTTAATAGAGGAGAGTTCAAACGAAATCGGTGTAACTTTTACTAAGTGTTACACCGCTCAATAACTTTATATTAAATGTGAATTTTGAAAATCCAACCGTTAGATTGAAAGTTCATATCTCTTAGATCATATATATCAAATTTTATATTAATCTAAGATGATTTGATACTTCATTCTCATAAAACAAAATTGACGTAATATATATTTCAAAATATACTAAAATATGAACACTTTGATTACATTCAAGTTGTTGTTCAATTTTAACAAAATTTGATATATATATATATGATCTAAGATATATGAACTTTCAATCTAATGGTTAGATTTACAAAATTCACATTTAATATAAAGTTATTGAGCGGTGTAACACTTAGTAAAAGTTACACCGGTGTCGTTTGAACCCTCCTCTATTTAATAATATTTAGGCTAATTTGTACTTTTAGTTTTCTTTTTTTTTTTATCACATTTTCATCTCATTTCACCATTTTTATGAGATAAAATTAAAAATTGATAGTGAAATTTAGCTTAAATATTATTAAATATTCATTGTCATATCATTTACTTGATGTCAGATCATGACTACCACTTCAATTTTAACAATCAATAGATGAACATTCAATGAAGGGGTCAAAATTCCCTATTTTATAAAACTTGGAAACTAAAATTGAGAAATATAGGGACCACTATTGAGAATTTAATATTATAGGAAATCAAAAGTGCAATTTAACCTATATATATATATATATTGAAATTTGGTTTAAAAATAAAAGGAAAAAGAAATTTAAAAGAGATAAAAAGTTAAGAAAATACCTAGAAATATTCTTGATGAAGAAAAATAATTAAAAATATTCTCATTGAAGAATAACATTTTTAAATTCTCTTCACTTAAGATAACTATTCTATTTTATATATACAGTGTATTTAGTAAAATTAACTTATAAGATAGTCGAAAGCTTATAAATTATAAGTCATGAATTGAAAAACATAAGTAGAATTGTCAATTTTGGTTCAGTCCAATGGATTGACCTAGTCAACCTGTAAATAAGGCTAGCCTAGGCATAGAAAGGGTGGTTTAAATAGAAACAAACAATTTTTCTCGAGTTCGCTTACCTTGATTGGCCAAATAGCCATAGACTGGGTTGGCCCGATCAAAAAGTAAAAAAAAAAAATAATAAATATAGTAAGGTGTAATATAAGTAATAGATGTTAGATGAGATTGAATAAAAATTTATTTTGTGAAGATAAAGTGGTCAAAGATATGACAACAAGGATGAAGGCCAAAATTTGATAAATATTTTTATCAATATTACATTTGGATGTGTTCTTGACCCTATGACAAAGTTCAATTTCATAATTTTTTACATGAGGCTTTGTCCACATGATGTCATGATTAAGGAGAGAATGTGAATAAGATGAAAAAATGTTTATATAATCTCCTTTAGCTAAATATGTAAAGCAAGCAAGTACTTCAAGCTCATTTATACCTAGTACTTCATCAAGAGACACTCAATCTCATCCAATGTCAAGGGGATCAAGAGATACTAAATAATTATTAATAGTTTAGGCCACCTTAGTTCACTAAACAATTTATTTGTTTTCAATTTACAAAAAAAAAAAATCAATTTTTATTTAAATTTTTGGATATAAAAGCATTTTTTTTTAAAAATAGTCATTTTTGTTTTGGGCCAATTTAGTCTGATGGCCTGACATGGACTAAGTTGGCCGAAAAAATCTTTCCTTCAACATAGTTCAAGCCAGGTTAGACTGACCTAAAACATCATGTGACCCATGCAGACAACTTTACTTATAAGTTAATTGATTGAATTGATAGTGTAAGATTAGTTAACTAATGTAAAATAGTATATTTATTTATTTGATAATAAAAGTGTAAATAACGTGTAGGCTGTGACATCCTTTTCCCCACTTTCTCATACTTATACGTACTAATGAGACAAAAGAATCTTGTCTGAATAAGACTTTATTTGAAATAAATAATAGCTCTTAAAATGCCTTTAAAGATAGAGAATTCACATTTGGTTCAAATGAAACAAGTTCAAAACATAAATGTCTCTAAAATAATGATTAGACCATAGTGGTCGTAAAAAAAATACATAATTCCAAAAACTAACAACATTCCTAAACAAGATGAAATAAATCAAGTAAATAGAATAACAAATCCTAAGGCATGAATCCTGATGTCACATCTTATTAGAGTTTCACTTAAACATGCTAAGGCCTAAGCCTCAACACCAACATCGTCATCATCTTAACGATCCTCTTTCAAAATACATAAAAAAAATAACTAGAGCAAGGGGAGTGAAATGCATCTCGCTTTGGCTCCCGGTGTGAGATAAGGTCAGGTAGCCATACACATCATAGCATACAACATATACAAATAATATCAAGAATGTAAAAAAAATATACAAAACTACATTAATAGCAAAAATGTATCAAACCACATACCTAAGCAGTCGCATTTTACACAATTGATGCAACGAACATGGACTTATCTAGATCTACATACGCATGGCGTCAATAAAACTCATGTATGGTTACCTAAAGGTTAGTATTCATGTACGATATTTTGAAGGCTAATTCTCACGTACAGTTGCTCAAAGGGTAATAATCATGTACAATGTCTCAAAGGCTAATACTTATATGTGGTTGACTAAAGGTTAATACTCATGACCTAAAAATAAAGGGAGACAAATCCCCTAAACAAAGGGAATTAGAATCCCATAAAATAGGAAAGAAAAGAAAAAAAAAAGGTGAATCCATAATTTAGGATTTTATATGCCTGATTTATTTAGAATAATAAAATCCAAATATTCCTAATTTATTTCCCTAAAATATTTAGAATAATAAAATTCAAAAATTCCTAATTTATCCATACTTCCCCTCAAGTTGGTACAAAGATATCTATCATTCCCAACTTGGTAACTTGATGTTCAAAAGATTGTCTTAGTAGACCATTGGTTAAGACATCTGTAATCTGTTGTGTGGTTGGAAAAAATAGAATGTAGATTACTCCTTCTTTAAGCATTTCTTTGATAAAATGTTTTTCAATCTCAACATGTTTTATTCTGTCATGTAAGACTGAATTATGAGCTATGTTTATTGCAGCCTTGTTATCACAAAACAACTGAATAGGAAAAGTTAGTGATTTTCCAAGGTCTTCTACTACCTTTTTTAGCCAAAGATAAATAAGTATGATCCTCATATGGAGAATGCATAAATTGGCTCACCATGCTTACATCAAAAAAAGGTAGTAGAAGACCTTGG